GAAGATAAATTGGCTCATGCTTGATGCTTTATTTGGTGCTTACCTCTTAGGAAAGCATGTGGTTACCAGTTTTGTCTATGACTTTCTTTGTTCTTTAAGCCTCTTAATCAGCATATTAAACTGAGTCTTAATATTAAATCACATCTCTTAATGTTGAAACATACAGGTTGGTAGAATGCTTTCCTTATTTTCCCCTTCTTAATTTTTTTTCTGAAAAATTCCCTGCCTCCTTCACATTGAGTTACAGTTTAAGGAATTAGAATGCTGGATAGAATGAAGAAACATGGGGAAAATACCTTGAAGATGAAGTCATGTCACACTTGGTAATGGAACTGAGTTCAGGGGCTCCCTATGAAACAGATTTCTGAACTAGCTTGTTGCACTCCAGAAAACTCCAGGTGCCCTTCAGGTGAAATTTTGAATCTGGGAGAAGAGCTGGCGTGGGTTTCTGAGCAAAGGTGAAATGACAGGAGTATGTTTTTATTCATTTTTCTCTGAAATTCATTAGTAATGAACTGTATTGCAGGCCTGTAGTTTGCTAACACATTTTTTCAGTTGTGAGTTTGGTTTTGGGACTTTTCATTGCTTTTGTGTTTGGCCCCAGAAAACTAGGCCTCAAACAAAATGTGTTGCCATTAACATAATGCAGCCAATGATATAGCTACTCACTTCTTGACTTCTCCACGCTTTTTACTGTGGAATATCAAATCAGTTGCAAGACTGCCAGACAAAATATCCAAGAAAAATAGGGTTTTTTTCTTTGTGAGATATTTTCCATCCTTACCGATATTATGTTGGAATTCGTGTGATGCAGTTTGCACTGAGAAACAATCATGTAGGATGGTATCTGCCCCCTTTCTTTCACAGCTTACCAATAAAAAACCCAATCCACTGGCCCATTTTCATGTCTGACTGTAATTGAACTGTGCATGACAATGAAACTGATGTTGAGGATTCCATTTATTCCCGTACAGTAGCTGTTCCTACTTTATTTGAAGTAATTGCTTTTATTTATTTAATGATTTTCTCTCTCACTATACACCTGCTTGTCAATATTCACAGTTTGTTCACTGCCTGGCCCCTTAATGGTAATCTCTGATTAGTCACTGTGTTCCCAGCCTTTGGAGTTTGTTATGATCTTTTAGAGAGGAAAGAGATGGAGGAGGATTGCACTTATCTGTAAATAATTAGGCAGGTGGGCTCTTTATGCCAGCTGTGCAAAAAAGAGTTCAGTGATCTAATCAAATGCCAAATATGAGCTAACGTGTGCCATGGTTATTGAACCCTGTGAGGCTAAATATGAATAAGCATGCATTTTGCTATAGCTGTGACTAACGCAGCCATAGATTGATTCCATTTTATTTTGCATGGCTATTTTATCATTAGTTTCATTTCAAAGAGAGAGTAGTAAACCAATTTTTATGGGTACACAGTGGCATCGAAAGGTGAGTTTTATGAAAGACTAACAGAAGTAGTGATAAGAGTGTTAACTTTTTGAAAGAACACAAGGAAAACAAAATAGTTGCTCAGAAAGATTTGTTGCACTAAAAGAATATTGTATAAATCTGGCTGCTGCTGTGCTTGCTCATTCGGTGTCTAAACAAAGATAGGGCTTTTGTTCATCTAGTTTTGGAAACAAAGTACTCACAGAAAAGACAGCATAGTGATTTTTCTACCTCATTTTCAACAAATTTTGGGGACCCAGATTTCTCCATCTTAAAAGGAAATATGGAATATTTTTCAAGAGATGCAAATTTAAGGGAATCCATAAAACCTGAAAATTTCAAGCCCATTTCAAACCTAGATTTTGAGAAATAATCCAACTTTCTTGATAATGCCTGTAGCATAGTTTCCCTTTCAGCTTATTGCTCTCAAGCGTCTATACTGTCACAGCTGCATGCTGCCAGTCTATTAGTTGTCTGATCATCCTATATGTTTGCCCGTGTTTGGTGTCTGCTTGGCGTCCATTTGGACCTATGCCACCTGGCCTCTTCTGCGGGGAAGCTTGTGTTCAGAAAGGAGGCTAGTATACATTTGGGTCCCATTTCCACATGCCTTGCACCTCTGCAACGTGAGTACATGCATGCGCTTGCACGTTACACTGAAGTTCACTTGAGTGAGAGATAGTATAGATAGAATGGGTTGAAAATGTGATGCCATGTGAGATGTGTTATGTGAAGAATATATGCAGCCTCAGGATGTATTATGGACCCTCAAAGACAGAGAGGTCTCAGGGAGGCATAGCACAAATAGATACGCTAACGAAGTAGGTAGTAAAGTCCACCAAGGCAGATGTCAGAAGTGGAATAAATGTTCTTGGGAGAAATCAGAGAGCACTGATTTGGGGTCCCTACTGAAGAGGGGGGTGAACTGCTGCTGCCACCCACCATGAAGCTGCAAGTCCACATCTTTCACATGGGATGAATAGTAAGATTATGCCTTTCGTTGGCTGACTCCTGAGGGAGATGTCTGTGTGCTGAAGTGTCAGCTTACAAATGGAGGACCACCCTCTGCAGGTATGTGACAAGAGGCTAGCAATTGGATCTCTAATTATACATTCAGCAAGATATGTGGAAACAAGTAGTTACTAATTTTGTGATATTAAACTATTATGTATTAGATTCTTTTTGAACAGTTATAAATGTATCATGAAGGATTTTAAGAAAGTTTCTTTCTTTTTTTCCCCCAAAAAGTTCTTTAAACAGCTCCTGTAATACATGGGTGTGATAAAAACTTGTACATTTAATACTGAAAGGTAAGAGAATACAAGCATCTGGGTCCACTAGGACTGTTCCTTTGCTTTGTGTGTTCAAAATAATCTGTGAGCTTCTCTTCCTTTTTTATCTTAATTTGTTAGGGTGGTTGGTATTCTATGATAACCTGAGTTTTCTTGCTCTGGGTGGATTTGACTGTAATGACACTTTGATAAATTTCTTTTTCTCAGAAAATGCAATGCTACTGTAAAGTGGCTGCTTAGAGTAGCACCTTCAAACTCAGACAGTCTGCTTTCTTCATACATTTGGTCGTGTCTGTTGATTTCGCTCACTGACTTCTTTTTTTCTCCTATTTGTACTGTAAAGGCAACACATAAATCTTTGTTCATTCTGTTCCATTTAAGCCCATTAAAACACTTCTCTGGTGCACTGCCTCGGGTTCTCATTTACACTACAACAAGGCAGGTTTCCTTTCCAGCTCTAACCACTATAGATGAGCACAGAAAGCTGAATTTTAAGGTTAAACAGGCCCTTAAAACAGGGTTTTCACAGGTGTCCTGAACGTTGTTTATAGAAACAAAATGATCAAGGACTTGTTTTGACCTGCAGAATCTTCCCTTGATGGCTGTGCCTCTCAAGGAATAAGCAGAGTTTTAGAACAAAGTCACCCCTAAAATGCATTTTTGATTAGTCCTTTTGTTCCTTCTGTCCCTCCACTGTTTGCCTCACACACTAGTTATTCATAACCTTTGAGAGTCACTGAGTTACCACAGTCCAGGTGGTAATTCATCTGCCATACATCACAGAGCAAGGGCAAGCCTCCCTCTTGCGTATCTATTTCCTGAACCTGTTCTTCTCCCACCGGGAGAGGTGGGAAAATTGAGAGAGATTTAGGTAGTCCCAGAATATCTGCCTTGGCACTTCTCAAGGATTGAGTGCCAAATTTCACAAACTTTCCTGGGAGATGGGTGGCATCAGCTGAAGAAACGAGTGAGGAGTCTGTAACTCGTACAGTTGGCTGCTGTAATTATTTAAAAGTAAAATGAACAAAACCCCACCCTCAACCAGCAAAGCCTTCCACTTTTATTTTATTTAAAAGCAGAATTGACTGTCAGCACTGTGCATTTTTATTGACCAGATAAACTAGTAGTGACCCCTTTGGCTCTACGCAAGAGTTCGAACCACTGCCTCCTTCTGCCTTCCCCCTGCACACTCATCCCGTAACTGAGAGGTGAACAACCAGCACCAGGTGTCTAAGTCTGGTCTCCAGCTCTTTTTCCCTGCAGAGGAGCTGCTGAGTTGCTCATTGGAGCCCTCATGGGGCAGCCATGCAGGAAAGATCACATCTGCCATCAGGTAGAGGGAGAGACTGTTTGCTCTTAAGGTTAGAGTCGTGGTCTGGAGCTGTGACAAAAACACAACAGAGAAGAGGCTGCTGCTTTGCTCCTTTGGAGTGCAGTAACAACTGGCTGGATTCTTTGAAAAACAGTATTTCATTGCATCTGTAACGTTTATCTCCCTCAAATTTTACTGTGTCAAGAATTGTCTCATTAAAAGGCTGTGGGTTTTCCTTTTGTTTATTTATTTATGTATTTATTTATTTATTTTTCACCTTTCTTTTCTGGCCATAGGTCTACTGAGGAATTTGACTTTCTGTCACAAAAGGAGCTTTCTTGAGGCTTTAATACGTAAAGTGGAATTGCTTTAGGGACATTTTCTTCCTGATTATGACTATGTATACTTTTGTGTGTATGTAGGTAGATATATGAGGCAGATGGTAACAGATAGTTCTGCAAACTGTGATGTTTACTTCCCGCATATTCATGAATTTTTCGAAATCTGAAATTTCTTGAAGGATCTTAAATTGCATATTGCAAAGTTTGGGGGAAAACATAGAAAGTTTATTTAGTTTGCTGTTTAAGAGATGTAGAATCTTTGTCTTAACAAACAGAGTCTAGCCCTGAAGTATTAAGGTTGCCCTTAAATTTCTGTGTAGGGCCCCCAGAGGTGGTCGCACTGTGTGGGAACCTCCAAGTTGCAGCAAGCTCCCATCACATCTCCTCTTCCTTAACTAACCAGCGTGTGTCAGGGGCGAGGAGTTAGGGACAGAAGGCTATATGCATCTTTTGTCAGCCTGTAATTTCTCAGTTTGGGGTTGCAGGCTGCTGAGTGCTATGCAAATGGTAGTACAAAAGAGAATAGAAGGGACCTTGGATTTATATATGAATTAAAAATTGTTGGCTTGCAGACTTGTATACATAGATATGGTTGTTTCTCTGTTTTTAGGAATACACTATAGATATAATTTTTGCCCAGACTTGGTATGACAGTCGTCTAAAATTTAACAGCTCAATGAAGGTGCTTATGCTTAATAGCAATATGGTTGGAAAAATATGGATTCCAGACACTTTCTTCCGGAACTCAAGGAAATCTGATGCTCACTGGATTACAACTCCAAATCGTTTACTTCGAATCTGGAGTGATGGAAGAGTATTATACACTCTAAGGTGGGTTTTTATTAACTGGCTAGGAAAAAAAAAAAAAGTTATGACCAGGAATATGAAAATAATGAATGTGAATCAAATCCTTGGCATCTCTTTTGTTGTGGACCACAGGAATTTGTAAGGAGTTTACTAAAGGAGGGGAAAAAAAAAAAAGATTATTTGATCATGAAAAACATGAAATTAGTAGTATTGAACTATATTGCCTAGATAATTGGGTAAAGACAATTGAAGGGGATACAAATTTTAATCTCATTTAGGTACAGGCAAGATTAAAAAAAAAGGAGTTATATAGCATGTAGTGCCATGGTTGTTTCTCACTAACATATTGCGGATCCTGTCATAAATTGTTTTGCAGACTTTCTGTTCTAAACAGTTCAGTATCTAATTTCCACCAAATTATATTTTGTAAGTAAAATATTAAATGCTTCAGATAATAGAAATCATAAGAAGTTTGATTAAAGCTAAGGTCCCAGTCCTGCATGTACTTCTTAACATGTTTATCCTTGCAAGCTATTAAAATCAATGAATCTGTTCATCCAAATTAGGCATAAGCAAACATGTTGGTGATAGTTCTTCTTGGCAAATGGCAGATGCTTGGGCTGGTTCTAAGCTTACTATCTAGGCTATATGTACTGATCTTTGAGTCACTATTCAAACAGTTCTTGAAAGACTGTGATGTGGTCTACTGAAAGCGTTTTAGGGTCATCTCAGTTTTATTTTTTAAGTATGCCTAAAAAATCTTACAATAAATTAGGAGCTGATCAAGAAGCAGTCCATGCAGAGGATGCCATAAATCTGATTCTACCTTTAAGAGTTTATTTATTTATTTTAAAGAAAAAGTAGCACCTTTTAATTACCTTTTTTTCAGTCATTTATGCTGTTTTCACATGCAAGCTAGTTGTGCTGGATGAACAATTTATAGAAGTCTTCTGTATCAGAAGTAAGAAGAATTAGAATGGTTTAAAAAGATTCTCTTCACTGAATATTTTCTTAGTACGCTTCATTTGAGAGCACACAAATATCTCTGAAGAGTACTTTTTAAACAGTTTATTATGCTGGTGTTTATAAAAACCTCTAGAGATCCTCTTCTGCTGACATGCTAATATTTTTTTTTTCTTTTTGTAGCTAACAATTCTAGAGTCATACTTGGACTTTACCCTTCCATTGTCCATTCAGTTTCAATGTCCAATTTTTTTTTTAAACAGGGTCTAAGTAACACAAAGAAACAAATGCATGCAACCGATAAACCATGTGAGCTCTCCCAGAGCAATAGGTTAGAATTCTTGTGCTAGAGTATGAGCTATGAAGTGCAATGAGCTAGTAATAAAACAGCAGAACAGGTATTCACCCAGCACTGCAACATGCAAACATGTGTATAGCCGAGGATATGGCCTGAATTTGGCCTAAGGTGGAATAACATTGAGAGGTTCATATGTTGGTTATAGAAGGAACAATAATAGGATCTGACAGTGCTCCAAGTTCATGGGCTCACCTGTACCACCACTCTTTGCCTGTTGGTTATTCAGGGAGAAGATGTGGTGATTCTGTTAGTCAGGCTTCCTGAGTCTCTTTCTGAGGATACTCCTTGGTCTGTCCATTGCAGCCATCAGTGATTCCAGATATAGTTGTGTTGCCTTTAATAAGTTTTTTTTCTTTTTCTTTAAGTGTTTGACTACCCAAAGGTTGAAAATGGAAAACAAAGGCAATAAACGTATATACCATAGTTGGCAAATTTGAGAAGCATCTTCAGAGGGATGCAAGTGTTTTACTTGGAAATGTGTGTGTGGGGGGGTTCTTTTTTTCCCCTCCATTATATGACAAGAAATATACTTTCTCTTATAAGCCTCTCTCTTGGTCAGGACAAATCTCCAGAAAGGTCGTAGTGACACTTTGTATAGAATAAATACTTTGTTTAAAGACTTACAGAGCTTTCTGGCAGCATGTGGCAGAATCTTCCTTTCCCCATCCCTTTTTGTCTAGTACGTAAGTATTGCATACAATCAAGCATGTAAGCATTATGTTAATTTTCAAAGTTGATTTTAGAAGACATTCTGACTTTCTTCACAATGTTGCCAACAAAGGAGGAGGTATTTTAAATACAAAGAAGGCAGTTTGGAGTCTAGCCCCTTACTCTAACTTGCTAGTGAAAGTTAGCAGAACTGAGTTTTGCATTGATTGCTTGGAAGCTCTTTGGAAATCTGTGATAGTATTTTCAAAAGCAGCAAGTGATTCAGTTGATACCATTACGAGTCCTAAACTACTTCTAAAATGTATATTAGTTGCATGAATTACCTGAATGCCTTAGACATTCAATGAATAGAAATATCAAGTCTGCTCTTTCCTACCCAAGCTGCTATCTTCACCAGAGCTGCTTCCATGAGTATAAAGTAAGCCCAAGAGTGTCCCCACTTTCTCTCTTGTGTCTGTAGCCACCAGATACAATCATGCCAAATGCAATTTGACTTGACAAATGCATTCTTCAGAAACTTCCTTTATTTGCTATCACAAACTCCCATCCTTGCCCTGCCTTCAGTCCCTCCCTTTTATCCCCTATTTCTGGTAGAGAGCTGAGAGATCCCCCTAAATCAATTAAAATTTTTGAAAGGGCTTGAAGTGCCTGTTGAAACAATGCAGGTCCTCAGGTTCCATATGATCATAGTTTTTGGTCTTTGGCAGTGATGCTGGATGTTTTTTGCAGATACACAGTTGGCTATGTGTAACATCCATTAATTGGCAAAATTGATTTCTGTGCATGTTCTTTACTATCTAGTCTGAAGTGTTTGGATGCTTGAATATAATCTTTTTTCTTTTTTTATTTTTTTTTTCCTTCCTTTTCCAATTAGGCTGACAATTAATGCTGAATGTTATCTTCAGCTTCATAACTTTCCTATGGATGAACACTCCTGTCCACTGGAGTTTTCAAGCTGTAGGTGGTAAAATGCTTATTTTTTTTTTTCTCTTTACATTCAGGCTTTAAATTTCCTTAAATTTTGTCAGCAAGAGACCAAGTGTTTACTTTTTAAAGCCTTGTAGTGAAGGAAAGAACTGACCTGTTTATGTTTTGATTAGATTTATTGCATTATTTAATGCATTATTAAATGCAGGAATGAATGAGTTGAATTACATGCATTTCATTTAGGTGAGACTTCAAAAATAATCTTACTGCTTAGGATTCTGATACAATGCCCATTCCAATTAATGGAAATCTATTGCCCTGGAAGAACTTTATTTTTTATGGCTGCCAGACTTGCCAGCTTTGAATTAGTTCCTTGTGGTATACTTAAAAGGAAAAATAGGAACTGTCTTCTTCAACCTATTCCTGTAAATGCTTAATCAGTGTAAGAAGTCCATCTCCTTTCAGTGGGACTTACTTATGTGAGCAAGAAACACAACTTTCAGGCTTCATTTCTTTATTGTAAACTATATTTAAAAAAATAAATATATATTCCTAAGGGAATTGTGCTATTACTGGCAAAAGAAACCCAAACCACCTGAACACAGCTGAATGACTTATTCCTAGATGTGAAACCTAATAGGCAATGAAATCAAACTTCAGTGATTCTTTTTAAATTAATGTTTTCATTTAATACTTCCTTCTTGAGTGCTTCCAGCTAAATGAGCTTTGGTAGCTCCATTGATGAAATAGTTGTGCCACACAAGCAAGTCTTGCTTAATTTCATTTCTGCCTTTCTGCAGTATAATATGGGGCAACATGTGAGGCACATGAAATTCAAGAAAGTTGCACTTCCTTTAAGTTGAAGTACTGGACAGTGAATCAGACCACAAAAATCCATTCTGTGAATAATAGGCAAAGAAATTTTCAATAACCCTCAAGAGGAATTTTATCAAATTATGTACTAATAAGTGTCTGTCCTTTTAAGCTCTTTGTGGTCTTTTAGTGATAACACATATCACATTTGTGTATTAACTCATAGTGATGATTCTGAGCCACTTTTTCATATCTGAGTTCCAGAATATTGTGTAGGTTTTTCCTAAACGTTTGTATTTACATAGTTCTTGATCGAGCATACATTTATCTAGGTTTAAAACTGAGGCTAGATATTTTGTGGTTAAATTTTAAGTGTATCAGGTGGACTATAGATTGGCTTTCCCTCTGATCCACTTTATGTATAGCCCTGGTTTAGTTTATAAACAACTTCAGAGATCACAAAAAGCTGCTTTGATATATACTGGAGCTGAACATTTGATTTTCTCTATTTTCTTCTAGATGGATATCCCAGAAATGAAATTGAATACAAATGGAAGAAAACCTCTGTTGAAGTGGCAGATCCAAAATACTGGAGATTGTATCAGTTTGCATTTGTAGGGTTACGAAATACAACTGAAATCTCTCATACCTTGTCTGGTAAGGCAAAGTGTCAAGTTTTATTTCATTTCATATCTGTGCAGAACAAGACTAATAGATGAAAATACAACTGAAAACTGTTTCCAATGTTATGTAAGTATTTTTTCTTTTTTTTAATTTGTAGGTGATTATATTATTATGACAATTTTCTTTGATCTCAGCAGACGTATGGGATATTTTACTATTCAGACATACATTCCTTGTATTCTCACAGTTGTTCTTTCATGGGTGTCATTTTGGATCAATAAGGATGCAGTTCCTGCAAGGACTTCTCTGGGTAAGAATGTCTTTTTTCAATCTTGAAGGGTCTGGTACTCCCCAGGAATACCAATCTGCAACAGGGAGTAAATTAACCACAGTTTATTCCCCTTCAGATTGTGACCATTGGTCACCCTTTCTCTTGAACTGCAAGATTAAGGGCAGGAGGATCCTGCTGTGGTTACACAGCAGGGCTTACGGAGGGATTGTTGAGAATGGAAATCTGGAAATCCTGATCCAAGCCTTGAGAGCCTGGTGTTGTTCACATAAATACTTTTTTTTTTTTCTCCTTTATGTTCTTTTTGTCATATCCAGGGACAGCAATGTGGCAATCATTAGTCTGAAAGTATGATTAAACTTCACTTAGTGTCATGGAACATCTTGGCTGACCTGTTTAGCATGGTGTCAGTCTCCTGTGTTTGACAGTTTAGGTTTCATGTGCTGCCTTGCAGAAGAGCTGTAGTACCCACATAAAGCACGATAGACACGTGTGGTGGGTTGACCCTGGCTGAACAACAGGTGCCCACCAAAGTGGCTCTATCACTCCCCTCCTCAGCTGGACAGGGGAGAGAAAATATAACAAAAGGCTCGTGGGTCGAGATAAGGACAGGGAGAGATCATTCACCAGCTACTGTCATGGGTAAAACAGACTCGACTTGGGGAAAAAAATTAATTTAATTTATTACCAATCAAATCAGAGTAGGATAATGAGAAATATAAACCCAATCTTAAACACACCTTCCCCCACTCCTCCCTCCTTCTTCGGTTCAACTTCACTCCCGATTTTCTCTACCTCCTCCCCTCAGCAGCACAGGGGGATGGGGAATGGGGGTTGGGGTCAGTTCGTCACACGTTGTCTCTGCTGGTCCTTCCTCCTTAGGGGCAGGACTCCTCACACTCTTCCCCTGTTCCAGCGTGGGGTCTCTCCCATGGCAGACAGTTCTCCACGGACTGCTCCAGTGTAGGTCCCCCATGGGGTCACAAGTCCTGCCAGCAAACCTGCTCCAGCGTGGGCTCCTCTCTCCACGGGTCCACAGGTCCTGCCAGGAGCCTGCTCCAGCGCGGGCTTCCCATGGGGTCACAGCCTCCTTCAGGCATCCACCTGCTCTGGTGTGGGATCCTCCCCAGGCTGCAGGTGGATATCTGCTCCACCGCGGACCTCCATGAGCTGCAGGGGGACAGCCTGCCTCACCATGGTCTTCACCACGTGCTGCAGGAGAACCTCTGCTCCAGCGCCTGGAGCACCTCCTCCCCCTCCTTCACTGACCTTGGGGTCTGCAGGGCTTTTTCTCTCACATATTTTCACTCCCATCTCTGGCTGCAGCTGCTGTTGCACAGCAACTTTTTCCCTTCTTAAATCTGTTATCCCAGAGGTGCTACCACCATCACTGATGGGCTCAGCCTTGGCCAGTGGCGGGTCCATCTTGGAGCCGGCTGGCATCGGCTGTCAGATATCGGGGAAGCTTCTAGCAGCTTCTCACAGAAGCCACCCCTGTAGCCGCCCCACTATCAAAACCTTGCCACACAAACCCAGTACAACAGGGATGTGTGGAGTGCATAGGATACAGACTAGCAACTTTGAGCTTAGCAGTGACAGATGCTTTTAGTAAAACCAGTGACAGCAGTATGACCTATTTTGGGCGAAAGACCAAGAGCTGAGATTGCATCTTAGGAAGAGAGAGATGTGAGTAATTTTCCTCATCAGCTTATGGGATTGTGAACACACCATTCCCATGTTATAGGAGTGTTTCCTACCAGAAGGGTGAGTTCAGGCTTCAACTCCCTACCTTTCCCACTGAAACTGGACCACTGGGCAGTCAAGCCTGCAAGACTAATGAGTGAAGAGAGAAAGTAAGCAAAAATGAGCATGGCTCAGTAGCCTAATGAAAAGGTAATGGAAGAAAAACTGACTCTTGGTTCTTAGCTTTATGCTCTTTAAAAGTACTGCAAAGTTTAACAAAGAGAGCCTAAAATCTTGAATAAATAAGTGAAACTATCTCTCAGTAGTTTCAAATCTTGATTTAGGAATTTATTATAAGATTTCTTTGGCTGACTAATCATTGGACATCATTGTGGGTGCCATCTGGAAAGACACTAGCTATAACAGGAAAAACTGTTGTATTGGTATCCTGCTAGTTCTGTATCCAGTTTGTTCTTTTTGCAGAGTACTTTTTCTGTGCCATAAACCTAGCAAGTTTGGCTTTGATCTCATGGTTAAGCTAGAGTTTTCATGCTCCCACTTCAGCAGTACTAACCTTCACCTACTTGAGATGTACTATAAATGTTTGCTATATCAAACTTACAGCTCCCTGCAGTTCTGAGCTCCTTTTGTATGAACATGCAGAAGCCATTGTTTGACAGATTGTAGGATGACTTTTCTCACATGCAGATGTTCCTGTGAAGAAGAAAGAGAATACCAGTCAAATAGACTGAATTTTATAGAAAAAAAGACTGAGAAATTAAGACGAGAAAGCCAAAACTAAGCAAGGTCCATCATGGCAAGCAGTCGGGATGCTGTGGAAGGTTTGCTCCTTGTGGCTGCCCCCTGTATGCCTTTCGCATAGTGGAGGGGACTGGGAAAGTCCACGTCTCCTTTTGTCCTCTCTGAACAGAAGTCAGTAGGGGGAATGGTGGGTGTGACTTCCCAACTGGAGGTTGTGCTGGGTCTGGTACACTGAAAAGGCTTGGGCCTTCTTCTTCCTTATATGTTGAAAGAGCCTGGCAGATTGTGGTTTCCTAAAGCAAAAGGTTTGGATGATTAAAGTTATTTAGATATTTAACTATGCAGAGAAATGCCTAATTGATTTTCAAAAGCATCTAGTGGGAGCGAAGCACTTTTGAAAACCTCTGTGGTTGTCTGTTTTCCCTTTTAGGCATGTAATTTCCTTGGGAAATCTGTTGCAAAATCACTGCTGCTTTCCTGCTTCAGGATCAGTCCATAGTGATCCTTGATTCCATGCTTTGGTTTAAAAGCCAGAGACAGCCTTAGACTGGTGTAACACATTTTTTGCAATAAGCCTGTGCACGTAAATAACAAATTATTTGTGTGTTCAAGTATTGCTCTCCAAAGGAAAGGTCACATCTTAATTTTGGACTACTATGAAAAAGGCTTTGCATCTCCCTGAAGCATCAAATATAAGAAGAAAGTGTTAACACGTTCTAAATGTTAAACCAGTGAAGAGTGGTATACTTGAGATTCTGAACACACCGCTATTAAGACCAGCTTGTTCTTTTAATTAACTTGTATGTAAGTGAATCAAGGGAAACATTTTCTATTACTTAAGACACAGTATTGAAAAAATACCTAGTCAAAAGGCCATGAAGGTCATCTAGTTTGATCTGCTACATGTCAGAAGCAAACAATCGAAAACATTATTCCTTTTTCTTGTGTTTTCTGAAAGTTTGAAATCATTGATAAATAACACACCTTTTTTTCTGAATGCGTCCTTTTGTACATTTTAATCTTTCAAGAGCCAAAGGACTTTTTTTGTGTTTATAAAATTTTTGTGCTTATTTGTACCTGTTTGTCTACTGTATTTGTTTTATGTGTTCATTCTATAATAGATTTATAAAATTACACAAACCTTCTCGGTGTCATTGTTTATTCAGTGTGTGTTGAAAATGGGAGGGATTTAAACTGAAGGTGAAATGTGCTGCATTCTGTATGGTCCCACAGTGTCCACTGAATCCATAGGGATGGCTTCTTGCAGTAGCACCAGTGTGCGTGGGTGTGATCAGCGGTGAACCCTGCTGTGGCTCTGTTCTTGTGTGTCTCATGAATGAAGGGCTAATTTTGAGGATTTTTTTGTGACAATATGATTGGGTTACTTACACACTTCCCTCTTCCTGTCTTTTTTCTTTCTTTCTCAAACAGGCATTACAACGGTGCTGACCATGACAACATTGAGTACAATTGCTAGGAAGTCACTCCCAAAGGTTTCCTACGTGACAGCAATGGACCTTTTTGTCTCAGTTTGCTTCATTTTTGTGTTTGCTGCCTTGATGGAATATGGCACCTTGCATTACTTTACCAGCAACAGAAAAGGGGACAAAGGAAAAGAAAAGAAGGCAAAATCTAAGCCATCAGTAAGTTTAGCCAACCAAGAAGAAAAAGAAATACAGAATACTCTTTACTGTAGCATTAATTTCAAGAGACTGGTTCTTAAGTAGAAGGGCTAATGTTCTAAGATAATTAACACTAATAGTTACTTTATAATTTTTTTACAGCTGGGAGCTTGTACTAATTTTCTGTAAATACTACTAATGAACAAAGGTTTTAGATCATTTCACTCATCTGTGAATGAGAACACATGAGCCTAAGCTAGAGAGTGGTTTGGCATAACATTCCATGCTTACATGCCGTGCCCAAGCCCTTGGTGCTTCTGGAGCTGCCCGTGGAGTGTGTGCCCATGGAGACAGTTATGTCTGGGCATAGTGCTTCTGAAAACAGCACCTGGCAGAGAACCATAGAGAAGACTGTAGCAGCAGAGATAATCTAAATGGGCTGAAGGTATAAGGATTTGTTTGGATCTGCATAACCTAACTTGGGTCTTACCTCGCTAGCTTTGCAAAGGAAAAAGTGCTCATTATTTGTCAGTATTCTGACTCTCTTCCTCTTCAGAAATTTTACTTTAACTCTTTTTTTTCATTTACTTTCATATTTCTTGCTGGTAAAATGAACCTTCTGCTTTTACAAGTTGATGTTTGTTTGGCGTGAATCCCCACATATCCCAGGAACAAGTATTATTCAATTTTAAGAGGCTTTCTGCTCGTGTAATAAGAATACTGGAACTTCCAAAGAATCTGTTGTTGGAAGCCAGTACAAATATTTAAAGCTAATCTTTAAACTAATAAAACATTGAGGTAAAGGCATTAAATAGCTTATTCATTCGAACACTAGTCTTAATACCTGAGGTATATTGTAGTCATCTTTTGGAGAGAATAAGAGGAAGGACAATGTATAAAGTCCCCTTCCAGATCATTTTGTCAAAGGAAGCTGGAGCATAGCTGAATCATAACGTCAGTTGTCTTTTCTGGGTGAAGGCTGAATACCATGTGTGTAAGATCAAACAAATTGAAATGAAATTACAGAAGCCCAGATATGGAAATGCAGAAGTCCTGTTATGAACCATATCTGTTCTGTGACTAGTGTGGGAAAGCACTGACGCACCCATTTTGAGCAGAGCTGCTGTGGGAGACTGTCTTATGGGGGCACTGCGGAGCTGTTACGGCTTGATACCAGGGAAATGGAAGCCCTTACAGTTCATATGGTGAGCTGGTCCGAGTGGATCAGCTGTGTATTTAGGACAAGGCTAATGGTGAAGGGTTAATACTGCCCTGTGCTGCCTTGGTTGGACATCACTGTGATCCTCAGGGAATCCAGCACAGCCAAGAAAACTGGAAAATGGATGCCTCAAACCTCTCTCCTGTTAGTGGTAGAAGCAAATGTAGGCACAACGGAAGGGATGGAAAACAGGCTTTGGCAAGGGCCACAACTGAGCAATGAGGGTAAAAGGTAACAGAGGCCGCAGAATCTGGGGGACTTCCCAGTGTCAGCATAGCAGATTCAATTTTAGGTTGTTGTTGCAATGAGGTCTCAACAACACTTAGGGAACAGAGAGCTGAAACAGGTCTGCTCTCAGCGTGCACCACAAGGAGAAAAGGAAGAGGGGAGGAAATACTGCTTATTCAAACCAGGGAGATATTGAAGATCAGCTGCTGGCAGATCAAAAGCTATTGAAGTGGTTTGCAAGTATACTCCATTGAATGGAGGAATGAGACTTTCCAGAATCTGTTCATACATCATCCATTTGTGCAATAATCTGCCAAATGCTTTGAGATTTTCAGTGCATATGACAATTTAAAATGTACAATAATTGTGAGATAGAAATTATGACATTTATTGAATAAATAGCTGGAGTTTGGACTAAGATTAAAATTAGCAATATAATGCTCAAAACACTGTTCGGTTGTGTTTTACTATGTTCTTAAAGCATGCTTTTTGTTTTTAAGTAGTTGAAAACCAACCATCTTTTCACACAGAATTCTTTAAAGATGTTTCAGCATGTTATGGCTATAAGACCATACTAGATAAGAGATTACTCCAAAAAAAGGGGGATTAAATTTAAGATACTTAGATGCAAGGATTCTAATTTGATAAATAGGGTTTTTCTGGTGATGTTTTATAAAAAGCTATAAAATTTCTTGTTCCAAATAGAACAATTAAAGAAGCCATCTTGTTAATTAATGGGAAGTCGTACAATTACAAATCCATATTTTATTTTATTTTTTCTCCTTTTATCTTTGTCAAAGACTTCATTCTGTTTCTCTTGTAGTTATATATATGTAACTCAAAAAAACAATTTAATTAAAATAGTCAGTTTAATTTCTTCTGAAAAGTTCTCATTTACAGGTGTTTTTTCCTTGTAAAACTTGCTTTGCATAGGTCTTCTATTTCTATTGCAAAATGCAATAAAAGCTTATTATTCCAGGAACTAATGCCAATAAGATGCAATAAATGATCTTGTGAAAAAAAATGGTGAGATTTTACAAATGATTACGGCAGTTTTATCTTAAAAAATATGTGCTGGCATCATTCATGAATTGGCTAAGGTAAATCCACAGTAGTAAGGATAATGAGTTTGGGTAGGAAAGATTAAACTTAATTAGTTGTGGATCTTGTTCTGATCATTATTCCACCTGATGTAAATGCTTCACCTGTGCTATGATCTCCACAGATGATGGCTTTCTTTTGTACATGTATTAGTGTTAATGCAGAATAATTTGGTTTTGGTCCTATCAGAGTATATTATAAATGCTTCCCACTCTACGTGGAGTTTTATCTACAATATCAGTAGGCATGTACGTGAACAATCGGCACATAGTCCTGTATGTACATGTTACCTTTTTTTTAAGTCTCCGCCAACTGATACAAGGTCATTTTCTTGTGAGGTGTTGGTCTTTTTTCCCCTTTTCCTTCATGTTGTCTCTTTCTTACACACATTTTATGCTTTCCCTGTAGGTAGTTAGGCCTATAAGATGGCACTGTCTTTCTGCCTCTCTCAGGCCACCTCTTCAAACCTGTAATTCAGTAGCCAGCTTCAGTCTGTGCTGGTGACATGAGCAGTGAAAAGCAGTACTGTTATTTTTTCCTCCTCCCGTGGTGTTTCTGAGTTGAGGATTCCTGTTTTACCCCACTAGTAGAAACAAATCATTCCATGAATCTTACATTGACAGAACCAACAGTCAGAAAATTCTTGTAAAGCCAGATTAGACATGAAGCAGAAATAAGCATCTTTCCCTATGTATCTTCAACAAAATAATAATTTTGTAAGTTAAAAAAAAAATTTGAACTTACTTTTTATGTTTCATAAAAATAAGCCCTGTTTGTAATGCCTCAAATTAGGGTAAGAAGCATGTAACTACTGTTTGTTAGTATTGCCAGTATATTATCATAACTGGGAAGAATAATGAGGTCCTTTAGGATGATAATTAGCTCCCTAGGTCGTCATGTCTAAAAAGTATTGAAACAGCAGTCTGTGTGAAATTTCCTCTGGTAAAGACACTTATTAAATAAAGCTATTTGAAAACGTGGTGGATGCTGCACTGCTTTAACATCACCCCTTGGGACATTGGGTAAAATGTCCCTGCAGCAATAAGAGTGCCTCCTTAATGATGTATAGAGATCTGTGTACTGGCCAAAGTAATTCCCTGGAAGTGGGACAACAGGACTCTAAAACATAACAAGAATCTAAATGATGTGGCTTCCTGCTTTACATATTTTTTTCATATTTTTTCATTGCCTATCATGTATAATTGTTTAAGAGAGATTCTTCTCTACACTTCCAATTAGTTTCTCTGACTGCATCCTTTCCTGCTGTATTTATTCCTTACATGACAAATTACGGAGAAGGTATAAAAAAGAGAAGACAATGTAAGAGTAATATTGGTATAACCCCTGTCTTCAGTCTGAAGATTCTAGAGGAGATGCTAAAGGTGGGGGGGCTGTTGAAAGAAAGAGGATTGTGGAGTAGTTTAAAAAGGCTATGAGATTTAGAAAGATAAAAAAGGACAGATAGAGAAAGAGACTGTCTTTTGAAATATTCAGGAAACCAAGGATGAAGAGTGAAGAACTGCTTGGAAACAAAATAATAAAAGGGGGAAAGATGGGCTGTGGTAGCACGAGTAACAGGAAGGCGAAAAGGCAAAAGTCGCAAGAAAGGGAAGAGCAAACAGTATATGTAATAGGCAATAAGGCACCCAGATTTTTTCTATGAAAATTATTTATGAACCCCAACATCTGTTACACTGAGTTTTTACCAGATTGCAAAGGGTTGAATTATGCCCATGGAAAGTAAAAGTAAGAATTAAGAGCTGAATTAATCAGTTTCACTGGCTTGAATGGCATTGTCCTAAAGAGTCTTGTGTCTTGGTTTCTAAAGCCAGAGCATATTGTGTAGGGATTGAACATCACAAGGTTAGATGACGTAGTCTGGCCCTATGTGTCTCAGTCTCTTAAACTTCACCAGTGACACTGTGCTAATCCCATTAGCTCTTTTTTTGGTGAAAATGTAGCTTCCAGAAAAACATCCAGTCTTATTCTAAAGACTCCAAATGATGGGAGAACCATCATTCCCTTGGTAGTCATGCTCATAGCCTGCTTGTGGACTTGCTTGTGACCGAGTTGTCAAGCTGTGACTGACTTCAAAATGTTCATTTGTGTTGTGTAGATGGGATCAGCTAACCCTGTCTGTGTAACTAATTATCCACTATTCCCAAATCCCAGCACAGCCCAGTTTTCACTGTGGCAGGTGAAAATAATTCATGATCTTTTGCCTGCATGAGCTAATTATATGCATCAGTTCATAATTCACAAAGCTCCCCAAACTGTTTTCTTTAATAGTAGAATTTCTGTATATTGTACTGAAGGTGCTAATACTGGCCTTTGCTAAGGAAAGCCTATGGAATTGTTTAACATGAGGATAAAAAAACCCACAAATCTATATTTTTCTTTTTTGTTTTTCTTAAGAAACCACCTGCCATTGCTGTTCGACCTGGATCAACACTAATTCCAATTAATAACATTAATCATCTCCCTGATGATGATTATGGATATGAGTGCCTAGAAGGGAAAGACTGTGCTAGCTTCTTTTGTTGTTTTGAAGACTGCCGCACAGGATCTTGGAGAGAAGGAAGAATACACATCCGCATTGCAAAAATTGACTCCTATTCTCGAATCTTCTTTCCAACTGCCTTTGCATTGTTCAATCTTGTTTACTGGATTGGCTATCTTTATCTATAAATTTCAGAGATTTGACAAACTCAGAAAAAAATGCTAATTGAACAGTCATTAACACTTTTCAGTGAGCAGTCAAAGATTAGAGCTGGTCCAAAATGACTCAGATTGTTCGTATGCTTTGAAAATTTGAAACAATGAGAGGAAATATGGTGATGTAGTCTCCCTCTTGTGATCAACTATAGAACTGATATTGGTATTTCAAAAGAAATTTTAAAAATAAATATCCCTAACATTTAACTTGCCTGAATATACACTTTTTTTGTCCAGCTCTAACAAAATGCAGAGTCAAGAGGCTATGTTATTTAGCTGGACAGTTCTACATAAGCTTTCAATTTTAATCCTAAAGATAATGCAGATTAATTTTGTAGCATCTCTTACACCTTTACAAAGAAAGCCTTAATAAAATGGGATTAGTTATTCTCATCCATTTCATCCATAAGGTGATGATTTTATTAATCCCTGATTTAAAAAAGTTGAAATGGAACATTTCTATTTTTCAACCAGCCATTTGTTCTCTGCAGTATGTTAAAAAGAGTGATTAAGTCATAATTAATCACATTCAGATTCATACAGAATACAGAGATTAGAGCAGCAAGAAATGGATATATCACAAAAAACCCAAGGGTAATTCTGAGCTTGTCTTATCCTGACCACTGATACAGGCTTTTGGCTTTCAACCTTAGATTACATTTATGTCTGTGCTCTATCTGCTGTTACTTCACTCTTGTGAGTTCCCCAAAGTTCTCCAAGAGGGCTACAACTTTCAAAAATTCCTACCCAGCTGCCATTGCTTGCTCATTTCATGGAAACCAGACTGATGTTGGCTGAGATTCTGGCCACTAAACTTACTGCTCTTCACATCCTCCCCATTCCCCTGTCCTTTGTCTGATTCACACTCAGGGCCACTGAAAAAGTTGTAACTCTACATTCGGTAGAATTTGTACCATCAGAGTTTGGAAAACCTGTAACAGTGCTATAGTCATTGTATTCAAAGCCGCTATGTTAAATCTCCAGCCCTAAGAGTGTAGTGTGTGACCTGCTCCACTCTGCATACAGTACGATTTTGTAGATTCTGCTTGTTACTGCATATGCTACTCACTGAGCCAGAGCCAAATGGTATGAATTTACTGAACCTGTGTTATGGATTGCTGTGTAATTACCACCTTGATATTTATTTGTTTCTAATGGAAAAGCCCTGTTATGAGGGGGGAGGGGAATTACAATAATCCTTATGCATTGCAGAGCCTTCTCCAAGATGGGATGTGGCACCACAAAAATCATAGGACCAGTTCTCCAGCCTTTCTGTGGTCAGAGCTTCTGTTCACTTTGGTAGCAATTCTTCAGTAGTAGCCTTTCTGGACTGACTTCTCTGTGTTGACTATTGCTGGCTGGCAGCATTTAGTATCTCATTTCTGTTTTTAAATCCATTGTCTTCATTATGGAAAAGTGCAGTCTTTCCTCCTTTCTTAAAAAGAAACTGGTCTCAAGTGAGCTTGCAAAAATCACTGTAAAATTAAGATATGCATTAAGTAAAAGTCAGAATTACTCAGAAGACCTTACAGATCTTTAAAGAGGATTAATGGGATTAGTATTTGGCTGTAGGTAAGGATGTTCAGTACTGGAGATAAAGACATGATTAATAGCTAATAATAGAAAATGATACATGACGGACCCCCCCCAATATTTCTGTTGAATGTGCTCCCTCCTCTGAATTTCTCAGAAAAGATTAATGTATTTTTATATTCTAGTTGGTACCAGACATAATAAGATATGATATGCAATACACATTTCAGATGAAATGTGACTGCAGTGTTCAGCCCGGAAGTTTAATAGAGAATGCAAGACTATGTGCAGTGATTCTGGAAGAAAGTGTGACAGAGAAGATCCCATTTTAATGCAAACTTTATTTCAGTATTTAGCTGACGAAATACGAAAGTGGTTGAGAGAATCTGAAAGCCTGCTGTTGAGGTTGGCTGACATTATTTGTTGCATGACCTTTCTGAGCACCACCTTCTTCTGACTGTCGGACTGAGCATAGAAGTGCGGCATCATTAACAACACTGATCTACTATAATTTATTGTTTCTTTAGAGTCTCATTTTCAGAAAATGTTCAGTACAATGGAAATGTGTCAGTTTTAATTCCATAGTGCAGTTTGATGCTTTTTGACAGCACACGAAACACATTCCTCTGTAGGAGGGATGAAGGTGGCTTCAGCAGCAATAAGTTGGATGTGTACTTGAAAAGATGTCTACTCACTATACAAGGCCCAGATTTTGTGAGCTCCTGAGTTTCATTAATTCACCTTTAAACAAAAGGAACTTGAAAGAACTTGGCACTTCACAAGAGGAAATACAAATTTCACAGCCTGCTCTCCTCTGGCACATCTAGTTAGCTTTTTCTATTCATGTGGTTGTCAGTTGCCAGTCAGCCTCCAGTGACTGAATTGGAGAACAGAAAACATCCAGAATTGGCAAGGGATGGATAAGAAGTCTTTCATCTCTAATTTCTATGAAACAATGTAATGGAGTATTAAACCTATTGAATGTTATGGCTGTTTGGCTTATGGATACACTTGCTTCTGTCTGTTGACAAACTTTTCTGTGTACTTCATTTGTTTCTGATGAAATAATTTTAGTTTCCCATAGTACTGTGAGTGCAAATAGAAATGGGAATGCAGTGAACTGTAACATGGCATGTAATAAATGTGTTATTTTAGTGCTTTGTGTTTTCTTTCTAATCTGCATGTAAACAGTTGATTCCCAGAAATCTAAGTGATACTCAAAAAAATGACAAGAAACAGAGACTATAATTACTTGGACTTAGATGCCACAATCATTTTTCAAATCTACCTGGATAAAAGTTCATTTACTGATAGCTGGGAGCACAGTATTTGGAGTCATATTATTCTGACCATTACTGCTTAAGCACATGCTTAAACCTATTCCTAATCAGTACTGTACTTAGACTAGAATTCAGAAAAGCATGTGCTTATGTACTGTCATAAAGAGTGATGCTATCCTGAATTGATGCCATTAACACATGCTTAATTTGCACTAATTTCAGTAATGAGTGTTCAGTAGCTCAAATGATTGAACATCAAGGGTGTAAGCCAGACCCTCTTCCATAAGAAGTTTTCTCACTGAAAGAGAGGGATGTAAGAGGAGAAATTGCCATAAAGGCGGAGAGGTGAAAAAGTCTAGGCAAACGGTTTTATACTGCACATATCTTAGGCATCTCCTGAAATGTATTCAAAAAAAGATACTTTTCCTTGATATTTCTGTATTAGTGTTCACCACTTGTCTGTTTTAGTAGTGAATACAGCTCAGTGTGTTATTTTTTGGTAAGGTTTTGTCTATGATTGTACCTCACTGATCTTCAGTGCATGTCTTCTGTGTCTGAATGAATCTGTTTTATGTAGTGTCAGTGCAACCAAAGCGTGAGCTCTGGGTAACGTATTTTATATTCACATGTTGATGTGCTTCAAAGGCTTTAACCTTATCCGGTTTTCTGACATTCAGAGACATAGGATTGTGTAAGACTTTGAAGGAGAATCACCTCCAGCATGGTTTTTATAATTTTCTGTTGCTTATTTGCTGTGGTAGTAAAAGAATTGTTTAGAATTGATATATGAACTGTGCTTTGTAATTTGTGAACACCTTTGACCTTTCAATTGAAAGCCCAACAGGAGGAGTTTGGATTTAAATATCTATCTGCCTAAAGTGAGATATGTTTTCTTTAATTGCATCATTCATCATTTCAGTTTACTGTTTCCAAATACCTGAGAATTAGAATGCATTCAATCATTGAGTCCGTCTCTCCTTCAGGGATTGGGAAAGGTAGATTTCGATCATGCCAGGCATGAACTAGGGTAGCCAGTGTACTCCAGGGAAGTTGGTAAGAGTTTCTGGTTAAACACAAGGGTGATTTTTGCCTGTGAGACTATAATTTGAAACAGGGTGCATGCTTTCTTTCAGAAAATGGATGTGTGCTGTGACTTCCAGAATGATGGAAAAGCATCCTTGCACTTCATGTTTTATCTTTGCACAGGAGGGGTTTCATTGAGTTGACTGTCCTGTTATGAGGCACTGAGGTATTCTCCGTGTGGTATAGGGGGAGAGTTTTGCTTGCACTCCTGGACAAGGTGTCTAAATCTTGTCACAGGGCTCAGTATTGTGGGTTCTGAGTTGTCTTTTGAATCTGTTATGATGCTGGTGAAAAGGCAGTGAATACTATACTTTTGATTCTGATTCCTATTAAATCTCACTGAGAAAGCCAGAACGTTAATGAAGGTGTTAGAGGAAATCTCAGACAGCCCGTGGAGATAGGAGATTAGCTGATACTGTAATAGACTAAAGGATCTAGCCCTTTTTTCCATAGGTGGGTCTTGTTGCCTGCTAGCAATATATTGTTTCTAAAAAAATTTTAAAAGTCTCATGTTATTTTAAGGGCAAAAAAAAAAATCTGTAAAATTTCTGGGCAATCTCATTCCCCTTCCCAGTGACAAATCTTGCTTTGCCTGCAAATTTTGCTTAGGGTAGATCAACATTACTTGAGCTGTGTGAGGAGAGCCACGGGGGATGTAAGACAGAAGACCTGTAAACTGTTCTACCTTGTTCTTCCTCTCAGTTCCTTTTCTTAGTCAAGAAAAGAGTTTCAGAAGAGTAAGTGTATGGCATGTGTAAATGAGGACAATTTTGCTACTGACAACAGGGCCTGAGTCCCACTAGCTGACAGGATCAAGAGAGACGGGAGTCTGCTTGCAGTAATAAGGCTTCTCTTTTGTAATTCTTTGTAGTAGCTGCTTTTCCATACATCTCTGCATGTACCTGAGACTCAAACATTTTTCAGGTTGGAAGCAATTCTTTTGTGTGTTTCTGGCTTCACAGAATGATCTCTGTCATCAGGGTCTGAGCCTTGCTGAATTCAAAAGAAAAGGTTTCCTCTTGAAGTTTCCCTGTCCAGGCATTGCAGGTAGGAGATGTCTTGCCACCAAATATTGGG